ACATCCAACAACAATTTTTTTTTAGTTTCAGTTTCAGAGGAAGTGGTGGTTGTTCTTGGCTAGAGTTTCAAGCAGAAAAAAAAAGGAAGAAGGTCTGCTTCAAGGAAGAAAAGGAGAAGCCTCTGGAACAGGCGTGGTGGCTAGTAGTGGTGGTGACAGCAGCTAGCTGTCGGGATTTAGGTTGGTGTTTGATCGGCTTCTGTTTTTGCTTTGGAGTTTGAATAAGCTACAGAGAAGCAAGGAGAATTTGAAATCTAGAGATGCAGGGAAAAGAAAATAAGGTAAAAGAAGCTAGTTCTGGGAAGATAGAAACCAAACGGTGCCGTTTTGGTACTAGGAGGAGAAAAAAAAAAAAAAGACCCGCACCCACGTCCACGTGACCCATTTGGTGGTTAAAGGTTTTTCTATTTTATTTATTTTAATTTTTATTCTCCTTATATTATTTTTATTTTAATATTTTTCAGCATATTTATCTCATTTGTACATGATGATGATTAATTATTATTATTGCATGATTAATTTTACGAGTTTTTATTATTTGCATGAAATATTTATTATTAGCACGTTTTATTTATGATTTTATTTGCATGCTTTTATTTTGATATTTTTGTATGAATATATAACTGTTTGATATTTTATATTTGCATGAATAATTATAATATGTATTGTTGGATGATTTTATATTTATTTTATGATTTTATGTTTATTGTATGGTTTAATGATTGCATGGTGTATGATAATATTGTATAAATAAATAAAAGAACTTGAAATTTGATTTTTATAAAATATTTAATAAATCTGATGATGAAATTTTAGGAAGTTTAAGTATTAATTTTTGATAATTCTTTAGCTATGAAAAGACTTTCAAAATTTACTAAAGTATTAGAATGTTCAGAATCTCTTTTCAATACAAAGATTTTTATTTTAATTCTTTTTAATTTGAATAATTTTTTTAAAAAGAGATAGAAATATATAATATTTATAAGAGTATGCATTTTTTAGGAAATAAAAAATTTATAGATAATCATATTATCACATAACTTTTAAATATTAATAATTATTAAAAAATAAAAAAATAAAAATTTCAAGGATGAGATAAAAAAAAAGTTTGAGTAGTGATTTTTTATGAATCTCTATGTAAGAAAATTTATTTAAATGACATCAATGTATTGGAGTATTTAGAATAATTTTTTATGAAATTTTTTTTAAATAAATAGAATAAGAAATGAATTCTTTAAAAAATTAATTATTTCGATTAAGTTATAGATATCATATTTTATTATATGCATGGTAAATATAAATTTTGAAGATAAATATGAATTATCGAGGATAGGATTTTTGAAAAGTCCAAATAGTGATTCTTAAGAGATTTTTAAGTGGGAATTTTTTTTTAATATTACTAAAGTATTAAAATATTTTCAAAAAATTTTCAATATGTAATGTTTTTATTTATTTTTCAAGCAAATAACTAGAAATAAAAAAATATTTTTTTACAACTAAAAAATTATGTTAATCCCATCGTGAACATTTAGAGAAGAAAAATGTGTTTTTTTTGTTGCAATAAAGAAAATTAAGAAAATTAAATTAAATACAAAAATTAAGATATTTTTATCAAAATTAAAAGATAACATATAATTAAGTGGTATCATTTTAAACGGATATTATGAAAGTGCTAATATTTTTTCATGCGTAATCGACTTTCGAATTTAAACTATTTTCGCAAACTCAAAATTTATCTTTTTATTAAAATTTAATTAATTTTAATATTTTATTAAAAAGATAAATTTTATTAGGTGGTTAATCACATCTAATCAAAAAAGATTGTAACGATTTTTTTTTTATTTTCAAATTAATATAACGGACCCAAAAAAACATTATGACATAGTATATACAATATTTTTTTTAAAATATTATTCGATACGATATTAATAATTTTAGATAAGATTAATTCTAATGAAATTAAATACAGCAATGGTGATAAGATTAGTAAATGTGGCTATAAGATTGTTATTATAGTGGTAAGATTGGATATTATAATAATCAAATTAAAATTAATAAAAATATATGCATTAAGATACGAATGCAATAATGACAATGATGTGAAGTATAATGAGAATAAAAAATTACCATTAAAGATATTATATCAAAATTTTTATATAATTAAATTTATAATATATATTAAATATTTGTAAAATTAATAAATTATTAAAAATTATTAAAAATTATGGTATATATTTTATTTTTATGTTGTATTTATGTATTTATAATGTTGTAACTATTTATTATATATAATTATTATATAAAAATTATTTAGTTTAATTAATAATATGTATAGATATATTTTTTTGTATATATTTTTTAAAATTTTGCTATCTATTTGTTTATTTATTATGCAATTGTATAAATTTATTAGCCACTTTAAATAAATAATTAAAAATATCTACAAAATTAAAAACAAAAAGGGGTAAAAGGGAAAAGGGAAAAGGGGACTACGGTGGGAACATTATTTTTCCACTGGACCTTAAGGCTCGAGTTTCAAATCATGGGTACCACATGATTAAAAAGTCTCCGCCGTTACCTTTTTTATGTCACCCAAATAGCATCATGGTGTGATTGGAGAGTCCAACAACACCTTATCGGCATAAAATGGAGATCCAAATCCAATTTCAGGTTTTATTTAAATGATAAAATTAATTTTGATAAAATTAAACATAATAATAATTATAATTAAAAAATTTTATATAAAATAAATATTATTAAAATTGATATTTAAATTCAATTGATCATGTAATAAATTCAAATATATCTTATTAAAGGTATAATGAAATCCAAACCTCCACCTAATGTATTAGGGTTAAAATCTTATTTTCAAAATGATATAACAAAACAAATATATACAAAAAAAATTGAACACATGAGATTTACAGTAAAAAACTTGCAATTATGATAGAAATCCTTTAAACATAAACACAATTAAAGAGATCAAGTTACTTATGTCAAAAATTTAAATATATCTTTATTTAATATTATTATATATTAAATTTTGTTTAAAAAGCTACGTCGCAACCTTCACATCAATTTTATTGTAAAAATCAATTCGTAAATATATTTTAAAACAACCAACGTCAAAAAAATAATTAAACTCTACCCAACTTAATAAATTTTTGTACAAACTAGGGAACAAGTTAGCAATTCTCAGTGAAAATTAATTAATTAGTTCATCCGGACAAGTAAAACCTATCTTTCTGGTTCTATACATGGATATGTCGAAAGCATTAATTTATTAACTGATTTAGATTCGAGGCATATATATATATATATTTCATTGATGGTTCTCTAATTAATTGTTGATGTGTGTGTATATATATACATATATATATGTATATATATATACACTCACATCAGCAATTAATTAGAGAACCATCAATGAAACAACCAACTGAAATGTAAGAAATGAAATCTAATTCATAAAAAGAAAGTAGGAAAAGACAAGTTGACAACTCGATATAAATAAATGAAACTTCCTCTTTATACATATTTTGATGTAAATAAGGGAAATTTTTTAAAAATATGTTCGAATATTGAAAGTTCTCCTTGGCCAAAAATATTCTGTTTGAGGTTTTCAATTTAGAATTTAGGATGTGAACTAGGAAGAAATTTAGCATCGAGAGGATTAACTTCCATAATGCATAATGATGATATAGCAATGGGATGAATTGAGACGGGTTTTTATTTGTTTCAATTTTAATATAATTTAATATTAAAATATTATTTTTATATTCAATCAATTCATATATATATATAAATATATATAATTGTAATTGAATTAACTGGAAATTAAATTAATAATTTTAATTTAATATAATATTTATAAAATATTATTTTTTTCATATAAATTATATTTTAATTATACATAAATATGGTATTTTTATTAAGTTAATATCTTAAATTAAAATATTAAATAACAATTTATTAATATAATATATATAATTACATAAATAATAAAAAATATTATATATCAAATCGGATTCACCTAAAACTTGATTTTGACTTGATCTTGATTTATTTAAAAAAATAAATCTAATCTAACCCAAAACTTAATTAAAAAAAAAAAGATCTTACAAAATTGGAACAAGTCAAAATCCAACATGTTTGAATATATTTACCTTCCCTAATAATGCATGCATTTCTCATAAAAAATCCAAATCTAGTTGCCAAACAGCTAGATTAAAAAAGTAAATTTATTTATTATCAATTTTTTTGTGTGTTTATGAATTTTTTGCTTGAATACACATTTTGGTATCATTGATTAAGAATTTGAATGGTAAGTGAGAAGGGATCATCTCAATGGCCATATTCCCACCAACAATTTGAATGAAAGATTAAAAAAAAAATCATGTTGGACTTGTAATTCATGTAATATAATTAATAATTCATGTATTTCAAAGAAATTTTATTTTTGTGGACTCAATATAATGATGATATTATTAATTTTATGAAAAATAAAATATTCTATGTGCTTTACTTGAAAATGAAAGTCCAAATTGATATTCAAAAAATATTTTTCTTGAATTTAATATAATTTCAGCATTTTTAATTTCAATAAAAGAACATTTTGAATATGCTTTACTTTACTAAAGCTTTTGTTATTCAAAAGAAAATTGATGTTTAGTTTTAATATTATCGTTGATAAATTAAATTTTGGAGAAAATTAAAAACAAAGAAATATTCCCAAGATCGAAGTTATACAACAATCTTTGTTAATATTTCTTTTATGTAAAAAAATATTTTTAATTCTCAAAAAATTCCTAATTTTTATCTCAAATATTTGTTTTGAATTAACCCTAAATGAATAATTTTAGACTTGAAGAAGGATTGGTGAAAACAAAAGGAAAATGAAAGTCAGAGGCTTTATGCTTTGAAGTAAAAGAGTATTAGATCGATCCCCTAACCCATGGATCAATCATATGATCATACGATTCCAATTTTATTTTTATCAAAAATAGATTCGTTTAGTTTTTTTTTTTTTTTTTCCCAACAAAAGAAGCCTAGCCTTGATATTTATGGACCAAACTTGCTTGAAAATATAGTATTATGAAAGATCCTCCCCAAGATTAAAGTTGTTCATTTCACCACTTCAGATGAACCCTTTCAGAAACACTAGACAAGATTAAAAAGGAGTAAATCATGATTAATTACTTTCAATTCCTATATTTTGTTAATGCATTCTTTCGCAGGAATCCAAAATTAATTTTCTGATTTGCTTTTGATGGAAGATTATCCAGAACCAGAATTAAACTTTAATTATAGTCCAATTTTATAATTCTAATACCATATTATTGGTAACGACAATTATTATACCGGAGGAGGCTGAGCCGAGGATTCTTCTTTTCCAACTTGCTCAACCCTCAAGTTAAGACAATTTAACTTCCACGAATTCGACCCATCTCCGCCTCCAGCGCCACCTCTCTGAAACTTGACCGAACCCGTCTTCGTAACAGACGGCGGAGTCCTTAAAAACACCCACCGGTCAGTATAACTTTTCCCCCTACTGCTTCCTTCACCTTTCGTTGAACTAGCTTCCATCCTCGAAACGACATCGTAACTCCTCGTCCGCTTCAACTTCCCGCTTTTCGCAATTTGCTTCCTGATCTCTTCTGGCAATCTTAACGTGAACCTTTCCACGTTTTCCCCAGGTTGAATCAGTGAGTGACCCGTCGAGTGAGAACGCAGAAACTTTCCCTTTACTTTCCCTCTCGGTCGAGTTCCTTCATTGACTTGAATGACGAATTCATTTCGTTCTTCAACTTGTTGTGCTGTTGGAGGACTAGACTCGTTGTTGTTGTTCGAGTTCAACTCAGTGATATTTGGGCTTGAATCTTCTTGTTTGGCATCGGAATCGGGAGTCAGTTTAGTTCGACAAACGGGACAGGTCACGTGGTAAGCCAACCAAGCGTCAATGCAATCAGGATGAAATACGTGATTGCATTTCGGCATTAAACGCAGCGTTTCATCATCTTCGAATTCACTCAAACAGACCGCGCATTCCAGAGCACCTTTCCCGATTTTAAAGTCTTTCACATAAGAATATATAAAGACCGGGAAGCTCTCGATAACCGCCGTATCAAGACCTTTTGGCCCGGAGCTTTCGACTGAGGAAGCTGCAGCCAAGGGTGCTGCGGTGGCAATGCCGTTGTATTCGTTGCAATGGTGGATGTAAATGGAGATGAAACCGACGAAGAAGAAAGCGCAGACAAGGACTATAACGATGATGGCCATGGACGGGTCTAAGTGAGAGTAAAGCCCATACGAATCTCCCCATGGCGGAGCTTCTGGCTGCGCCGCCACTAAGACAACGGTTACTATGTACAAGAAATTCCAACTGCTGAGATTTAACATCAAGGCCAGGGGAATCAAGATTTCGAGAAAGAAATAGAAACGGATACTCACGTCAGTTAAAAAAAAAAGGAAGAACGGGAAGGATAATAATCAGCTGTCGCCGTGGGGGGTTTGTGGGAATAAAAATGAAGTAGTGGGTACGGACGTCACTTTTCACAATGGCTATGTTTTGAACACGTGGATATGTTAATGAGTGCTTTTATGAAGAGGAAAAAGACAGCTAAAACCCAGGTTGGCTGAGAAATCGGTGGGCTAAAGGCTTAGAAAAAGCCTAAAAAGGGGGATTAAAGTGAATAAAGTGAAATGACAAGGAAGGGGGTGGCCATTACCCACGTAGGGTTTGGATAAAATTTGTTCGTTTGGTTGCTAAGGAGACAAACTTATTTTAAAAACTCTTTTTGATTGCTTGTGATCTGGTACTTTTGTTCTAAATGCAATTTGCAATTCCCTTTTGCTGATTGACGTGACATTAGAATTGGTTCCAAATTCATAATTATCATCGAATGTCTTTGTCTTGATTTATTATAAAAGTAGAAATTTGTGTTTCCACCGTTTTTTTTAAATGGTTATATAAATTAATTAAATTAAATTTTTTATTTTAAATTAATTTAATAATATTTAAAAGAATATAGATATAAAATTTAATGTTATTTGTAAGGGTTAGTAAAATTAATGTCATACTAACAAAATTAAAAGGGAATAATTAACATCATTAATATTCGATCAATATTATCAAATTTAATTAATATAAAAATGAGATATAAATTAATTAAATTAAATTTTTTATTTTAAATTAATTTAATAATATTTAAAAGAATATAGATATAAAATTTAATGTTATTTTTAATGGTTAGTAAAATTAATGTCATACTAACAAAATTAAAGGAGAATAATTAACATCATTAATATTCGATCAATATTATCAAATTTAATTAATATAAAAATGAGATTTTTATTAATTTTAACATATACATTAAAATTTAAATCTTACAATTAGTACATAAATCAATGACATAATTTGATCAAATTTTTTCCATAAAAAAAATTGGTATGCCTCAATGGAAATTAACTTGGTGACTAAGATTCCTGAACAATATTTTTTATTTCATTCTATGAATTGAATCAAGCGTAATTTAATGTTTAGATATTCCTCCACTCATACACTTCCTTCCTCTACAAGTGAAAGACTATAATTTTTTAAATCATGTTCCACCTCATTACCTTCGACCTTTTTTTATGTTGAGTGGCACATTAATTAAACTCTTTCATTTCGTATAGGCCATTTAGTATAACAAGTAAAATGTTTGGAAGGTCTCATATGTCGAACATAATTTCTTGGTTACTATTAGTGTCGAGTTTCGATGTAAGGATACCCTTGGAAGGACAAGAAAGGGAATATAGCAATTAGATGTAAAAGCAAAAAGTATTTCCTGCGTTTTCACTCCGATGCATAAGTCAGAGATAAGAATGAAAGATGTTGAAATGAGAGAAGAGTAAAGGGTTAGGGCAAGATGGAACCTAGGATAATAACGTTTGGATATCTATATTTATAAATGAGAAACAAGGGACAAATGAGGGATAACAATCACGTGATCGAGTTAATGTGGCACTAAACGTGTCATGCCAACCTAATATGTCAAATCAGTTCAAATGTTTGAGATACCTCTAGTTGTTTGCCAGGGGTCTCTAATGGAGAGAAAGATCATCATGCCTTTTGGGCTATTAAATACCCCTAATATTCTATCCCCCACAGAGCAGTTTGAATATCAAACTGTTAGGTGTGCGATTAATTCATTTCACATAGGTCGGCTAGCTAAAAGGGGCAGCGAGAAATTTGATCTTCTGCAATTGAGGTCGACATGGAGACTAGCATTAAGGAACTATTTATCATCCATTTCGACCCGAAATGCCATGATGTATGTCGACCTAATATGAGTCTGATCTTATGTGAGTGTGCTTTAGGTTAAATATATAATTGGTTTGAAAGTTGTCGATGTATTTTTTATTTAGGATGATATGAGGTCAAGATAAGAGGTTTGAAAGAGTTGAAGAGTTCTTTTGGCAGATGTGAGATTTAAATATTTTTTTATAAGCTTGAACTTGAATCTTTGTTTAAACTTTGGTGATGAACCGACTACCAGTTCACTAGATCTGTTTAACCTGAAGACTCATTCGATTTAGTCGATCTCACCGGGTTAAGTGGTTGAGATTACATTAAACGAGAAGATAATTAGTTTTGGTGGTAAAATTCAGAGTACGAAAGGTGAAAAGACACTTTTTAACGGTGCTCTTACACGTGGCATAATTTAGGTGATCCATCTGATATGATGTGCGACTACATAAAGAGCTATTGAGGCTTTTATTTTTCATTTTTTTGCTTTTTGCTCTTCATCCGACTTGAATTTTTTGACCTAAACAGATTTTTGTCTTTTTTGACCTTACTATTTTTTTCCTTTCATCCGTTTTCATCGTTTTCCTCGGTATATTCTCTCTTCATCAATTTTTCTAGTTTTAGCTCCAAGAAAATTAGGAATTTCAAGGTAAAGTCTAAATGAGGTCAATTCAAGTAAGATGATAATGATCTAATCTCATTAATCATTGGAGGTTGAAACTATCACAAGATGGCCTACCACCTCAACCCTATGTTTAAGGAAAGGCAATGTTGGGTCAATGATAAAGCTCAACAAGAAAAGAGTGAGTCATAAGCATAAAAATATCGTGTGCCCATATAGCTTTTGATTTAAAAAATCCATTTCATTTTCTTGTTTTTCAAGTCGGTACGTCTTCTACAATCGACCTTTTCTTGTCTTTGGTTGTTCCCTCTTCTAGGGTCCAACCTCATCTAGGGGTGTAATTAATTGAGTTAGAGTTGATATAGTATTAAGCTCGAACTCGAGCTAAACTCCAAATTTGATGCTTGAAACTCAGCTCGAACTCAATCAAGGTTTTTTTTTTAGTTTGAGCTTGACTCGAGATAAAAATTGAGCTACTTGAGCTTGCTTGATTAGGCTCGATTAACATGTAAAAATAAGCTCGATTCTTGTATTCGATAAAAGTTTGATTATTTGTGTTTGAGCTCAAACTTGAGTTTGAAATATTTTATCAATTAAAATAATTAAAATATATTAAAATATAAAAGCTTGATTAGACTCACGAGTAACTAGAACTAGGTATAAGAATGTTCGAACTCGACTCGATTGATACGTTAAGCTACTTGAGCTCGAACTTGACTTGATAATAATTGAGTCGAATTTAAATCTTATTTGAATTAAACTTGAGTAGCTTGCGAGTACTAATGTATCATTTACACCCCTAGCATCATTAACCTTCTTATTTTTTTTATCTGCTCATTTTCCTATAAATACTCATGCTATTTTTTCTCGATCAACTTTTATTGACCTCACCTCTTCTCCTAAAGAGTTTTTTACTCTTTATCTTCCTTTAAGGTTATGGTGCTTTCTACCACACCTCTAACTTAAAATCTTACTCCTACTCTCTATCATGAAAAAGGTTTCGATAAAGAATAAAAAGACGGGAGTACTTTTAATAAGAAAAGTGATAGGGATGAAAAGAGTTCTTTAAAGCAAAATGAATTGGCCAAGGCTCTTATATACGCCTCCTAAGACCTAGGTATGATCTCCAAGGACATGATAAGAGAACTAAAAGGCAGGGTCAATCCTAAAGAGAGCCCAATATGTGTTTAGCTCATCACGTCCATGCTATGAGAATGAACTTTCACTTTCTTAAGGAGGGGTATAATGTACTAATGCTGAGCTTCTTAGATCGAGTCATAGATAAATTAGAGTGACATCGACTTTGGGTATATTAGGATTCATTTATGGCCAATCTGAGGTTCTTCTTTTATTTTTTATTTGTTTCAATTTTTAATTCTTATAATTTAACAAACATTCAGCTCACTCCTAATTTTATACGGTGCATAGTAAGTTTTATTATTCATTGTCAATATTTAGATATTCTTTTTTATCTCTCTTTTCAAAGAATTCTTTTTTATTAAAAAATACCCCAATGATAGAAGGTGGTTTTACGACTTAGCTCAGCCTAATAAAAAGATGTTTGCTAATTGCCTGAGCTATATCAAGAACTAGAAGCTGCTCTTCTTCTATTTTCAAAAATAAAAAATATAAAGATAATGAGACTAAGGTCGAGGCCTGTAAGGTAATAAATGAGTCTAATAATTTTATAGATGTGCCTATTGCTCTCTCTATTTTGGACCTTTTTGATCGAAAAAATAATGGAGTACACTTGTAAGGAAGAGTTCGTCATAGATGCCTATGAGTTGACCTTCATTGAAGTAATAAACGAGATGAAATATTAGGGTAAGTGTGAGGTAACCTTGTAGGATATTTGTTTATTTGTTTTTTTCTTTAACTCTCAACTCGATTTTACAGAGATGTCTACCAATAAAAATTTTGACTTTTCCTTCTTTCATCACAAGTTAAGGCAAAAAAAAAAGTCAAAATAAAAAGATTCAGCTCGATACCCCCTTTTGAGGGGGAATAAAGTCATTAACCCAATAGTAAATAAGCAACTGAGCTTCTTAGCTTAGTATTTTTTTGCTAAAAAAAATAAAATAACTATACATAGGGAGTTTTCTTTAGCAGTTCCCCTTCTCGTAAAAAAATGAAAGATCGATGCCTTCTCTTTTACTTTAGAGAATCTTGAGTTTAGAGTTTTAAGGCCCAACTTGAAAAAGGTTTGTACCAGTTTGAAGTATACTTTAGGTGACAACCCACTAGAGAACCTCGATGTGGCTAAGAGATTTTGTAAGGTCATGGTCCTTCATAATAGTAAGTACTATTTAACTTCAACTCATTTTTTCCCTTGCTCTTTATTTTTTATTTTGCTAAGTCTAAATTCATCTAAAGCAGTTTATAAAAAACTTTTTTTTGAGCTCATTGACAACACCAATCAAGCTTTTCATCACACTTACCCAGTTATAGCCCACCTGCTTAAGGTTAAGAAAGACATGACTGTTTTAGGTAAATAGTATAAGAATAGCTTAGATGCCTTACGCAGTGAGAAAAAACTTTAGTGTTTTTTACAAGAAAGAGGTTGAGTAAAGAAAAAAGATCAATGAGCTGACAGTTAAGCTAGAAAACATACATATCGAGAATTTTTCAGTGGAGTCTATAAAGAAATAGGTCGAGCTGAAACCTAGTGATGCTCAGGCTGAAAATTACAAAGTTGAGGTTCGAGCTTGAAGCTAAAAAAAAAAATAAAGAAGA